TATATCTTCACTGAAACAGACCAATCTGAATCTAGAAAACACTGTTATCCCTGCACAGCAGTAAAGGAAAGGATGCCCGGGGTATTTTAAGGGGAGTTGTTGGTTTACATTGCTGGGCTGTTCTTAATCATAACCTGTAGATATTAGTATTCATGAGCACCTGCTGCTTCATTTCATGCTTCCATCTGCTTTCCTCTCTGCACATGTAGGTTACTGTATCCTTTGAGTGCCTTTCAGTGTTTAGCTAATCTCTATAGTCATTCTTTCTCCTGGCATTTTGATCAGCACTTATATTAATGTTGAATGCTTTCCACAATGACAAAGCATTTGTTCCTTAAACAGGAGAGGATTAAAATGGTAGACAAAACTGAAGTTTTAACTGATTTTCCGAAGAGTCTTTCAAATCAAATTATATCAATTCAAGGGTATGACATAGCATTTTGCAGATGTGGAGTTATCTGTACAAATAAAGTTGCATAGTTAATTTATTTGCTTTGCTTTGTGAGGACTTCTGCTTTCTCTGTATTGTAGAGTATAACACAGTATTCTGGATGTAAATGGAACATTGTGATTTGTTGTTAAATGAGATTCTCTGCACACCAGTTGTCTGCAGTTACAGAGCTCTTAAGAAGCCACATTTACAGATGGCAGCCTGAAACAAAAATGAAAGATTTTGGAGTTTAAAAAATTGTATCCTCTGTAAATCAGGGGTGGGCAGGCTGCAGGCTGGATTTGGTTCACCAGCATTAGCCCTGGTGGGCTGCCGATGCTATATTTACCTGTGCCTCCTCAACTACTGGTGATCGCAGCTCCCGTTGGCTGTGGATCACTGATCCCAGCCAATGGCTCTGATTGGCCAGGAACAGAAATCTATGCCCAATGGGATCTGTAATTGCCCGTACCTGTGGAGGCGCAGGTAAATACAGCCACCTCCATTGTATTACCCACCCCTGTTCTAAATACTAAGTTTTATTGATTCTCCAAGCTAGTATTGTGGGGTGTGAGGCAATCTTTTCCAAATCCTGATGGTCCTGGGAAAATTAGACTAGTTGATAATTTGCCCCACCAGAAAATAATTTTGCCAGAAGGGAAATGCTTAATATGATAAGTGGTGCCACTTCCATCGGTTGAGGCTTGTGCATTAACTACCTGAGTCTGACAGTTTTCTCATTTGTGTTTATAAATGTCCTAATACTAATGAAATACTCCAAACAGAAAATTACTAGCAAATATTGAACTTTATGGGTATTTAAAGTCATTCATCATTTTGATTTAATACCAATCAGACTATACTGTTATTACCTAAAAATATATGTTGTGTTATGCCAGATTCATCCATTATCAGTGTTTCATTTGGGCTGCCTGGTCCAATATACATGTGATCTCTGCAACATCCTCATCTGACTGCTGATTTTTTTCTTCCATTGATCTAGCTTTCTCCTCTCAAAGGGGTGGATTTACTACAATTATGGGGAAAAAAAACCTTTTCCATTGCTGTGGTGTCTACCTCACTGCAATGGGATAGCTGCAGCACTGTAGTATAGACATTCCCTAAGTAATGGAACAAGTAAGCATTGATGGCTGTCTCAAACAGCCTGCAAGGGAGTAGACAGCAGTAGAGGTTATCTGGAAATGAAGATCCCAGGTTGAGGTCCAACATGAGGAATTAACTTTTATAAACACCTCCTTTCCTCATCCAACCACACAAAGAATTAGTAATCAGAGCCCTTTTCAGTTAAACTGGAAAGCCCTCACAGTTCAAGAACCTCTAAAAATTGGGGAAAGCACTAGAGGATTAGTTTATAATGTGCCTATCAAAGAATGAATAAGTAAGCACAAAAATAAAAATAATGTGGCCATATATAATAGACTGTTCCCCATTTTAGACCACTGCTCCCTGAGAGAAAATCGTCTGCTTATTAGAAACAAGATTAAACAGCTGAATCATGTATTTATTCTTACAGGCCCCTTAACTTATGTAGACTTTTTAAGTAGATGGGAGTTACAGGAACTGGGCCATCTACCAACAATGTGCTGCTGTCCACATTGAAAATTTAACTGCAGAACCAGCAAGCATTTGAAATAGAATAAGAAGAAGTTTAGGGCTGGAAGAAACCTCAGCACTCAAAAAGTCATCAAGTGCTGCCCACTGTGCTGAGGCAGAACCAAGTTAACCTAGATCAGTGTTTCTTAAACTGTGTTCTGTGAGGCAGTCAGAGGTGTGCCGTGGAGAACAACAGAGTTCAAAATGGCCACCCTTAAAGGGG